TGTATAGACCCGGGAACTCAGCTCAGGGATGGTGGGAGCTCCTCATAATGGGCACAGCGGGTGTATAGACCCGGGAACTCAGCTCAGGGATGGTGGGAGTCCTCATAATGGGCACAGTAGGAGTGCAGACCTTGGAACTCGGCACAGGGATGGTGGGAGTCCCTCATAATGGGCACAGTAGGAGTGCAGACCTTGGAACTCGGCACAGGGATGGTGGGAACCCCTCATAATGGGCACAGCAGGTGTGCAGACCTTGGAACTCAGCACAGGGATGGTGGGAACCTCTCATAATTAGCACAGTAGGAGTGCAGACCTTGGCACAGGGATGGTGGGAGTCCTGACCTTTTTTCATGAGTATTTTTTCTATAATTGCTAGGCCGTTGTGTTCCATGGTTCTGGCATCACCACCCTCTTTTCTTTTATTAAACTGTGCACATTGCAGCATAAGAGGGAGGTTGCAGAGCACAGTATCTTTAAGCTGTGTGCTGGTCTGGAAGCTCTGCTTGTTTATAAAATTAATTTCCCAAATCTGCTCTCTCTCTCCTTCTAGGTGATGTGAGAAGCAATAACAGAATTCACCCAGTTCCCCCATGGCGGCTGTGGTGTCTGAATCCCCCAGCCATGTCCTGGCAGAATTTGACTCTCTCGACCCTTTACTGTCAGCGCTGCGATTGGATTCCAGCCGGCTAAAGGTTTGTACGTCCTAAAAAACTTTTACATTGTATATATAAATATTTCCTGCTGGGGAGGCTCAGCCTCTCTGGGACAGTCAGGCTTGGCAGGTCTAGGGCATCCTCCAGCCAGGAAATGAGGCGGCCTCTATCTGACTCACTGCAGCTCCTAATGCACATTATGAGAAGCTCCCAGTGTGCAGTGATATCAGAGGAAGCCATGTCAGTCCAGTAGAGGAGCCGGTACAACTGTGCAAGACTGAAGGGAAGGCCGGAGGTCAGATAGAAGACTGAAGGGGAGGACGGAGGTCAGATAGAAGACTGAAGGGAAGGACGGAGGTCAGATAGAAGACTGAAGGGAAGGACGGAGGTCAGATGGAAGACTGAAGGGAAGGACGGGGGTCAGATGGAAGACTGAAGGGAAGGATGGGAGTCAGATAGAAGACTGAAGGGAAGGACGGGGGTCAGATAGAAGACTGAAGGGAAGGACGGGGGTCAGATGGAAGACTGGTATATAAATTTGTATGGAGGAGCTGAGAACCCACAAAGATAGGGAGGAGCACTCCAAGCTCACGAGTGGACAGGGATAGAGCCGGGAATTCCTTCCGGGAGATCTGAGTGATAGGAGTATCCTAGACATAGAAGAAACCAGGAGCTGACTGAACCCACCAGGCTTCAACTATAACCAAAATAGCTTTTTTGGGTGGACAGACCCTTTAAGTCACTTGAATACAGTTTAAAGTTCTGTATCTCTTCCATGAAGAACAATATGTAATACATTGTAAACAACAAAAAGAAACCCTGAATAGTATTCAGTAACATCCATTAGCATATTTGCAGTGTACGTGCCTGGCCGCGTCTCGGAGATGGTTGGCCCTGGGCAGTTCCGGAGGGGGTCTCAATCTCATCCAGAGAGACGGCTGGAAACACAGACTCATCCTCACACACAAGGTAAGATGAAGAATGTAATGCGGAGCCTTCCACGTTTCTTGTACAACAAACACACTTCCTCATGGCATCCGACTTCCTATTAAAGCGGAACTTTACCCGTATCTTTGAAATGACAACAATCCATTTATCAACCACCTTTTTCTTTGTCCATAGGAAGGAGCAATTTCAAGGGTCTCCTGCTGCCCCCACGATGATGACTATGTGGCTGTTGCAACCAGGTAGGAAATCTGCAATGACTTCAGGCTTGGGTCAAATCAATCAGACTGCGCTCATCCGGTAATACGCAATTGTATTCGGCAATCCTTGCACTCTTCCTATATCCAAGCAGTGGCATAACAATAGCCATAGCAGCCCATGCAGCTGCTATGGGGCCGGGGGGTGAAAGGTGCTCCATTAAGAATTGCAGAAGATGCAGTTGACCCTGTACCCCTTATAACATTTCCAATCAAGAAGAGCTTACATCAGATTACAGGATGAGGCTATGCAGACAGCTCTCCTGCTACATGTCCTTGGTTTAGACTCTATGGGGCTGCCAGGGGGCCCCATCAAAATTCTGCTATGGGCCCCATGATTTGTAGTTACGTCCCTGTATCCAAGCAAGATATATAACAGATTGTCGTCATTTAAAGCACAACTCTGGGCTGCTGTTAGATGTAACCATGCAGTGGCCCCCACCCACACTGCATTTTGACCTTGGGGATTGGAATACAAATACCTTATTCCTCCCACAAGCTTTCTCTGTGCTGCACGACTGGTCCCCCGAAGCTGCTTCCCTTCTCTGCTCCATCAGTTATCGGCACCCCTGCATTCTACATGAAGGGGCAAAGCAGCCCCCCGCATCCTGGGAGCATCGGAGAGACTTGTGATGAATAGATGCAAATCTTTATTTTATTCCTCCCTGGAGAGCAAGAAATTTAGGATTTGTACCTCTTTATCACCCACTAGAAACGAGTATTTAACCCTTGCAGTGCAGAGGGCCCACTCTATGGGTACATCCTACACTAGCTTTCATTAATAACTGTAGTGAAACCTGAATTCGGGGTCTAAAAAAATAAATAAATACCATTGCAATGGGGCCTCCCTGGACTGCAAGGGTTAATGCTGGTTAGTTTTAGGGGTAGAGTTACCATAGTCCTCACTCAAACAGGCTCCAGCACTCTCCTCTTCTCTCCGATGCTCCGGGCTGTTCTCGCATACAATGCAGGACTATGGGCCCCGAAAGGCTGCAGAGGTGGAGGGAGCCTGTCGGGGG